TGCTCGATAGACACTTTTGTTATAATGACAAGTCGATCTTCGACCAGCAAACGATGCTTCAACGGGATTCGAGTCAACGCTCTCCCCGACGGGATTTACACAAGCGCATTAAGTAATAATAATATCTTTGAAGGCGGTAGTCATTGAAAAATATCTGTCTGTTGCGAAATATTATTGGAAAGTGGCATAAGTAGCGCGTAAGCATAACGTTCGCGGTTTATTTTGCTCTCTCGTGAATGCGCGACTCTATCCTGCTAATTTCGCGCGCGCCGGGTACTCCTAACATTTTATGAAACCGTCGATTCGCGAAAAGGTCGCTCTCGAGTAAAACGGAGGGTCTCGAAAGGTCTCGGAAGATTACACCTGTGAACGCGTCTTCCCGTATCCTAAGCGTATCATAGCCTATGCGTGTCAGCGAGATTTTAATCGATAGAATAGAGAAAAAGAGATAAACTCCTACGCCAATTTCCATTAAAAAAATATATATATACATATATTCTATCCTATAATATTTTAATTATTTATGTTCTCAAAATTAATTAATGTAGAGAATTCTAATATAAAAAGGATAAAATTACAATGGTTCTCAAATTAAATTGGATTAATTGGCGATTTGGATCGCATAGAATTTGCAAGTCGAATACTAATAGCAATAACAAATATTTTTACAATTTTACATCATTATGTTTTCTCTTCAAAAGGAATGTATTATGTAACATCAAGTTATTAATAAATATGATAACAATAGAATATAAAAGATTAATATCAAATTGTCATGCATTTATGCTATAATTAAATATGTAATATATCATTTTCCGTAACAGCGGATATGAACTATGTTGCATTCTGTGTCGAATTGTAAAACACAAATATATTTAAATTATAGCAATGTTCGACATACATGACGCTTCAATAAATAATTGTAGTGCGCATGTGTCTGTGAAATTAGTACGATATTTTGTTAATTTTTAAAAAACAGCAGTACGCATAAAATAATTATAAATTAATTCTGCAAATAGTAAATGAAATAATAAATTAATTACTCACTCTATAATTACTCCGCCATTGTCCGATGCCTCCAGGACCTGCTCCTCCTCCTTCTTTCAGCTTCCATCGTCCTGCGCAAACATACACATTTACAATAACACGATGGCGTGGTACTTTACACTTTCGACGTTAACTGCATATTATAACTGCACTTTGTTGTATCGTAATGATAGGGGAAAGTATGCGAGTGTGAAAAAAATTGCAACAATATACATAATTAAATGCTCGTTTATTGTTAATTTATTGCTCCAGTCGCGAATTTATTGATTTTTTTTATATGTACAAAAGTAAAGGCATTTAATTATGGCATATAATTGAATTTTTTTTTTAACGGGGATACTAGGTTTACAGAGTAAAAAAAAAGGAGCAGACAAGACGGGATATTCATCTGGGGGACGTGCCTTCGACACGGTTCACCGATCTCCCGAGACCGGCGTGCACGTGATTTCGTGCTCGGGTTCCTGTGTTCCATTCACGAACGAACGCCCGGAGCGAGATACGGCGAATGTTAATGAGGCGACCGGTCAGCTGCTCCGATCCCGCGAGAAGGATAATCCTCCGTTGAAAATTAAATTCCGGAATTCCCGTGATCCACGCGGGACGACTCACGGTGAGGGCCTTCGAGGAAGCCCGCTCTTGCAAATCGCTCATCTCTACGGCATTATGGAAATCCGTCTCACGGAACGTACCGTTTCCTATATCGCTCGATATTGCAATTATACGGGCGCGATCGTTATAACTGTGTGCGAAAGACTGTGGGTATTAAGAAACGCAAAGTAAAATATGTCCCACGGCAAACTGCTCTATGAATTGTCTTACTTCTGATAATAAATATCATGTTGTCAGCATATCGTGTAATTTTCATCGATCTTGTCGCGATTCGTTTGCCACAAATTACTCCGTGTCACTTCTGGAGTCTTAACGAACGTTGAGCGAGGAATGATCGAACGCTGTTCACGCTGCGAGACTCCGCGTACAATCGCCATCGGCGACAACTCGATCCTTAAGCTGACTTTATACCATGGGCGTGGAGTCATATAAGCGCACTAGCTGCACCCCATAAACATACCTGCCCTATTCCACGCCGTCGCTTCCCGGCAAAAATTCTGAAACACGAGACCGATGGAACCTCGTGCCACGCTACTACCTTTTCTACTGACTGGACGCATCCCGTAGGAAATGCATTCTCGTCCGATTATTGATGTCGAGGTGCACGCAAAGAGAAATATGAAACTCGCAATGAATGTTCGATGCGATTAAGGAATAAATACCAGTATGAACGGTAATAATTTCCTGATAATATCACAGTTATTGAAACATGACGTTTCCACGAAAAAAAAAATTTAAAGAAATCCGCAATAGAGAGACAGAAGCAAAATTAAAGAGTCGTTTTAATCGTGCAAATCGTGTTATTTGAGATAACTATAACAATGTCGAATATTTCCCGTGCAATTGTTAAGCAGTAAATAGTAAGAATATGAAGCAATTTCGAAAGATCGAGTGCGTTCCCCGTAAGACGTCCCACGTACGGGCACTGAGACATGAAATTTATGACCACGATCCCTCGGCCAGGCCATCCGTCAGAGACGATCGCGAATCTCAATCCTTATGTACATCCAACTTGACGGAGCTCGTCTCGAAGAAAGACGGTGAACGCCCCGTGAATGCAGCTCGTATTACAGAGGGTCAGCGAGATCCGCGCACTTTATCAAGACGGAAAGAGAGTCCCGCACGGTCCTTCGGCGTAATTTGTCGTATACGAATTCGTATCCCGTTTCACAAGGCTTTACGGATGCATTTAGAACTGATCTCGATCGAAAACGCGGCGATCTTTTCAATCGAACTGACTGGATTTTCGTTTGTGAGAAATTTTTTTTTAACGGAACTTTAAGATATACGACGAAAGTAATAATTGTTTGACAGCTGACACGTAGGAATATATTGCCTCCGGCCTTTTCCGCCGCCTTGAAAGACACCGCGAGAAACGACTGTCGCAATCCTGCCTTCCTAATGACATCTCGAGAAACGATTGTCGCAATCGTACCCTTGTGCTTGTATACCCCACGTGGCGAAAGGGCATTAACTGAGCGGCGCGTAATGTCGTGATTACGCGCGACTGCGGAATCGAATAAATAAAATCTTAACCGTGATTGATTGTCCAACACCGTCGACCGGACGTACAATCGTGACGTGTCATTCCGTCCGCTCATTGTCATCGATCTCGATGATTGAGTATCATTGAGCACCGCGACCCATTTAACGAGATTTTGTATATATATAATATGAATATATAAAATATGTATATAAAATTCCGTTAAATTATATATATATATATATATATATAAAACCAATATAGAGATGTCTCGCACAACAAGATTAAATCTTTAAATTTCACATGTAAAATTCGTACAGGTCGAAAGGTTTCTCATGAAATAGAAGTGCTTGAGGATTTATATACATCCCATCTATATATACATACGTATATCTTCTACGAGGATATACCTAATACATATATTTATATATTTAAATATAATATACATATCGCTTTCTATTCATAATGTGCATTAATTAACAATGCCAATCGTTGCCAATCGCAAAAAAATAGGTATAATTACGAACGCAACGTATGTGTGTGTGTTACTTGCGACGTGACGCGTATCGTAGAGAATTTCTATTGCAAGTGATTTTCTAATTTTAAATTAACCGCTTTCAATTAACCAAATTCTTATTCCTTGCGCGGCAGCTTAATCGAATTCGCTTAACATTTTAACGCGAGGGAAGAAAATCGATCCCCATCTATCTTTCCATGAAAGATGTAAGTAGCAAAAAAAAACGATAATAGACGTCCATTAGGAGCAACGGTGAAAATTAAGTCCACTTATTTATAAGATGTTTCAGAAAGTGTGGCTAATATTTTTAGACAGGCAAGAAATTTTTGAACGAGATTAGGAAATTAATCGCGTCAACCGGACTGACGTGCGGCGTGAAACTGCCGGCCGGATGTTCGATGTCACCTCACGAGCGATCGCGCGTTTATTTATATCAAATCACGTCAATTCCACGTCAGTTATTGGAACGGTGAACGATCGGATCGCGTCGGATGCGAGTAGAAATCGGATATGAGCAGTGATGCAGGGCAATTAAAGTCGATTAAAGGCGGGCTAAATGCGGCCCGGCGATACGGACAACTTCTGTGCCGTCAGCGTGTCAGTCGGTAAAACGCCTAGTTTGTTGTACGGTTGAAGGAGGTACAAAAGTGAGCCGAGTTAATTGAACTCAATTAGTGACCGGGTCGGGCATGTACGAGTCGATAGTCTAATTTTTTTAAGCATAATATTAATACAGTCTCCTAGTCTCATTGCTCTCATTAGCCCGGCGCGTCGTCGCCGCCGCGATGAGAGTGCTCGTCTGTCCAAAGGTTTATTCTGCGTATTTACGATCAATATGTAATCCGGTTATCCGACACGTAAATATCATAAAATGTATGCAAAAGTGCAATATGGAATATCACACAACTTCGATCGTTTTTTTTTCTGGAGAAAAAAAGCCTTAAATGGCTTAAAGAGCTCTATGCGAAAGGAAGGACAACAGTTCTGCGATACCGCGGTGTATAGCTATATATATAACGAAAGGATGAAGCTGGGATTAGCTTCCTGTGTACCGCGCAACATTATTTACAAAGTTGCTTATGCGGATCATGCCGCGGTCTTAACGCGACGATACGTATTTACTTGCGGCCACATCGCGGAACCACCGTGTAACCATTTTCCGCACTGCAGCGTAACTAAATATTTAGCGAATAAATAAACAACGATGCAGAAGAATACCGACGAGTTTCTCGAATGTGCTTTCCGACTCTTTCGCGCATAATGTATCGTTTACCAGGCATCGATTATGCGTATCGCGCGCGCGTTTCGACATTCTCGCAGTGTTTATTCCTAATTTTATTGCAGACCACGAACGTTGTTGTGGGTGGCAAAGTCGAGAAGCTATCGTTCTACAATCACACGGAATGCGAATGCATAAAGAGATCCAAGTACGACACGGAGAACGAGAGACCCGCGGACCAGAGAGTCGACCGGCATCAGTCCTCGTTGCCTCCTCAAAATATGAAGAAATCGCCAGCGAAAAAACCGTAAGTTCGCGAAAGAACACATATTTTTGATATGTAACAATAAAACGAAAATAAAATATTGAAATTATTTTAATCCATTCATTTGTATATTGTATTCGTAGTTTAACGCTTAAAGCTAGTCTACAATTGCGTAATCGTATAGTCATAAGTGGTTGTAATTGTAAGAATTGACCAATTATAGTCAAATATTTTTCTTATTTTTTATTGTGATTGGTTAATTCTTACAACTGCAACTACTTACAACTTACGCTTACGAAATTGTAGACCGAGTTTTAAACGTAATGTCTCGGCATTTACGAACAGAGAAGCGAGTCAAAAAAATGTCTTATACAGCATATAATTTATTAAAAATGTAACTAATTAATCTTATAACTTAACAAAAATTTACTTCAGATGTCGTTGCCCATCTGAATTCAAGCCGAGGATCACGATGGAAGGCATTTGTCAATGTGACTGCCACGAGAATAATGAAAATTGCATAAGGTTCAAACGCGGGAAGGGATTCTTCTCCCTCGCGGACAGAGGGTGAGTTATGCCTACGCATTTTTTCTTCTTTGCGACACACTTCGCCACCAAATTCAGGGTGCGTCGCATTTTGGTGCACGCGTGTACCGAACTTAAAAATGCGATGATAAAACACCGCGGCGCCTGCATACTGATTACCGCGGCATTTACGAGACAAAATATAATGCGAACTCCGTTTGTATGTGCCGTCCGTGCCGTAAAATTTTATCATAATTGCGCTTTGCGGGACTTTCAAATTAGTTTCAATTGTAAGTACAACAGTGTCAAGTACATGTAATGAGTATACGCTTATGCTTTAATGACCTTGTTACTCCAAAAATTTTACTCGACAAAAACTCATTTCTCTCAGCTAAGAATCAAAAATCTAATTTTGTGTATGAAAAAGTACTACGATATTCGCAGAATAACGATTATAAAAAAAAATATGTGAAAGAAAACGTTTCGATCAAGTCTGTGATATCATATGATATCAAACCTTTTGACTCGCAGATGCATCGACACGTACGTATGTGCGGTACCTAACTGCGAGTTCGGTGAGTACATCAAGAGAACTGGGAGGTGTCCGCGGAAGAGGGACACTTTCGACGCGATGACGGACTACCACACGAATATCCATCATCATCGATTCAGAAGCTAGACGCACCCAGAGATGGCAGCGGGTAAGCGAAGAGGACGAGAATGACGATCGCGTTGAGATGCGATCCTAGTGCCAATGAAGAACGGAGATAGCATCGCGACGAAGCGCACGGGAAACCGATGGTGCCATTTTCTTTCTATTTTGTTTTAAATGCCTTCGTCAGAGAGAGAGAGAGAGAGAGAGAGAGAGAGAGAGAAAGAGAGAGAGACTCGCTACGTGTACATGTGCGCATATATTGTGTATAAAAAATGTACGTCGTTGTCTAGGCACGCGTATATATCGTCGTCGCTTCTTTTTTTTTCTCTTTCTTGCCGCGATCGGCGAGGATACGAAGTGATAATGATCGTCGACTTTCGGTACCGGTGATCGTCTCGCGGAGGACAGTGAAAGTATTTCGATGTTTAATTGATTCAATTATAATTTTATATGTAGCGTTCGATGTTCACACGGTGGTTCTCTACCGCGCGAGAGAAAATAAGTGTTGGATGTTCAATTATAAGATTTCGAGTCGTTAAGATAAGAAGATAACATTCTATATAACTGAAGCGATTTCTTCTAGGGTAGAGCGATATATATAGATATATATATATATATATATATATATATATAAATTAACGATTGCACTACGAAATTACCAGTGACGAGATGCGAAGTGCTTCTAGTAATAATTTTCGTGGAGGGGAAGTGACTGCCTTCTTTGAGCAGGAATTTCGTCGGCGAGAGGAACTCGCTGAAAAAAAATCGCACGTAATTATAGACGTAGATCTGAGGAGGGTGCGATAACGTCTTTTAAGCTAATGGTAATTTTATGCGATAAGCGATACCGCGAGTATCATAGTTTACGCTGAGAAGAAGACCTCGGACGCGAGCCTAGTCTGAGATCCTGTTTCCGTTCTGCGCGAGAGAATTTCTCGGTTCGTTGGATCACGCATGGTCGACCGAATTTGGCGAGCCTGAATCTTCCCCTACCTCTCCCCTCCCTCCCCCCCCCTGTCCCAATATCCTCTAATTTCTACTTCTTCAATTAGACTGTACGAAACGTAATTATGTAATGTGCTCATTAAAATAACTTTTGCGCCGAAATTTACGCGATAGTGATACGCGACGAGTAAGAAATACCAAAGCACACGCGCGAAACGCAGATAACGAGCGGTCGCGCAGAATCGAAACAGATCGTTAATAATGTAACCACATTTTGTATGTTACACGATTACAGAATTATCTCTATTGTATTTAATCGAAGCATTGATGTACGCCCCATTTTCGTTAATTTAATATTTAATCAATAAACAGAGCGAGGAAGAGATAGAGAGAGGGGGGGGGGGAAAGGAGAGGACTGATTGTGAGCTCTGTTCTTGCACCTCTGCACAGGTGATAATAACACGAGGAGGATATCCATCCTAACGCTGCGAAACGGCGCAGCCGCGCGTTGTTTGTAACTTTGTATTTTCTATGTTATTAATAAAAACAGCAAAATCACAAAGAACTACGGTAGACCAATTGTGTACGTCGAAACGTAAATGCGTGCTTGGACGATGCGACTGTCGGCGAGAAAGTAGTCGTTGTATTGTTAATACCGTCGCTTCTTTACTACGTGACTATAATATAATCTGAGAATATAAAATATAATACTATATGCGACTTCATTTTTTATCTTATTTTCCCTCTTCCAATTTCACAATTCCGGAAAGTCTGTCTCCTATAATTTAATATCTCTTGATATATTTTCAATATATATAAAAATATATTTTATATTCTTCGCAATTTGCAAGCTTTGAAATTCCTATCTACGAAATACTACCATCAAGTATTTGTAAATCTTTTTTTTTTACTGCAGTTCTCCATTCTGCATTGCACAAAAAATTGACTATTATTCAAAGATGGAAAAGTAACGTTTCATGTTTTTCGACAAAACTACGGGACTCGCAAGCCGCATAGATTTTTTCAACACAAAAAAACTGTTTAAAATCGCGGGAAAAAAACGACAAATGCATGTCTGTCTCGACGTGTTATTTTTCCGCCCAAATCGGGAAAGCACTTTTCATTGTGCGTCTTGTATACGTTCACACTTTTTTATTTGCTTATGCACATATTCATACATACACATACATACACGCATGATACTAAATCTATAATATACAATAAATGTACGTATGTGCTACATTAAATATATTAAATTTCATATTGCATTTCAATTATAAATTACATTTGAATTATAAATATATTTAATTTTGTAATATATAAATAATAAATATCCGCGCGTAAATCGCCTCTCGCGATCAGGAGTATTATGGAAATTACGATTTATAAATCCATATAGCCTACATTCGCAATCATTTGAAATGCGAACGAGAGTTAATTTTATACGAGAGTTATTTAATATAGCATATCTTTCGAAAATTCAACGACGGATTCGAAATTTCGTTGCTGCACATTGCAAGTCGCATATTGCAACCACGTAAACCTGCATCTTGTTCACGTAAACGGCAGCCCAAGTGCTAAGTAGAGGCAAGACGAGTATAAACCATCATGTAGGTGGATTACGTAGATAAAAACGAATGGCAGCAAATAAAAGAGCGAAACATATAGGATACGTACTAATATTCTAACAAGTTCCCGAAATCGTGTTCTCGGCGCCGGATCGATCGGCGATCAACACGCGTGCGAATAATTGAGCGATCTTATGGCTAACCAGGTTAAGGAAAAGACGGGGATACCTTAACTCCTGAAACGTGTCGTCGACTCTGATTGTGTGAGCTAGGATCTGGAATTCGTGCGAGGAATGCGAGGATCCGGGAACGGAAGAAATCGCGGTGTAGAACGCAACGAAACGTACGCAAACAAGCGGTCGCCCGCCGCGGACGCCATGACCGCAAGGAATGCCGGGAGTCGGCCGTCGGGACAGTCGCGGAGGACGGGATTGCTGGCAGCGCCATCTAGCGTGGAGAGTATAGAAGTAAGTAGAGCTTACCGTCGGTAATACGGTCGGTATCATGTATCTTCAGATAATACCGATATATCTTCTCTTCATTGATAAATCAGTTATCTGCATTATTGCCTGACGCAGACACGTGTGCGTCATACTTCCAAGATGCATCAGCAGGTGATGTGAATTGCAATCGTTGCAGATTGTTGGCGGAATGTCAAACCTTCCTAACCTCAACGGGCTGTCGGAATGTATACTCTTTGGGAAAAAGTTGGGATAATTTTCAAGTATCTCATGAAAAAGATTGGGAGAATTGTGTGATTACGCATTAAGAAAAGTTGTCTCATATTGGTTGTTGTAATTAACAAGGTTAGACGAGAGACGTCATATAACCTCGAGGAGAGCCTTGAGGTTGAAGGCGCAAATCTATCGCCCGGTGGAACAACACAGCAAAAGCCCTTCCCTCAGGGTGCACTTTCGCCGTCCGAAATTGCATTTGACTGTAAGAATCTGCCGTCGCCTAAGTGGCGCGAGGTGCAACGTAATTATGAGGTCTTGCAAAAAGTTTCTGGAATATAAATTCTGATCTGCTTTCACGTTGACACTGATACAACGTCAATGAAAGAGGAGCGCACAGTGAGAGAAACGATCATGGAGAGCACTCAATCGTTGTACATCAGCCTCTTCAGCGAGGAGAAGAGCGACGTCTTGAAGGAGGTCGGTAACGCAATAACCCAGGTGGAACGTAAAAGTAAATATCATTATGACATCAATTCCTGCATTATTTGTGACTTATAAGCGATATAAATGAAGTCATAACGACATCCTCACAATGTCAGATTTCATAATGATATAATTATGACTCTTGTGTTCTACCTGGGAATGTCCTCTCTTTTATTCCGATCATCGTGTAACGATCTGATTTTGTGTTAAGCTGTTGCACGCGTGCGTCGACGAGATCTGCGGTCGTCCGGGACCGTCGTATCGCAAATTCGCCAACAGCATGGATTGGAGCAGAGCGGAGTACGAAGGGGTTCACAAGCTGATATCGTCGTTATTGCGGAATCCCGCCTCTCTCTATCTGGTGGAGGAGAAGGTATAGCTGTTGAAAAATTAGTTACCACGTCAATCGAACTGAGTTTTGTCGAAGTATAATTTATTCATAATTATACTCCGTGACGTAACTTCAATGTGACTCTGTATTTAAACTCCTTTGTATTGCTAGATTAAATTTTATTGGAAAATGTTCTTTCTAGATGCCACAAGAATACCACGAGTTACCCGAGCAAGTGCAACAGAATATTCTTACTTGCTTGAAAGTGCGCAGGGAACAACTGACGGACGCTCTATTGAGGGAGCATTACAAGAGGAAACTGCCGACCGTGATCGATCACGATTGGAGATTGAAGGTACATTAAACTAAAAAAATCATTGTTGCGTATATTATTTTTGCTTCACTTGTTTCTCACTCGAATCTCGTTATAGTTGGTAATGGGTTCGAGCAAGATGGCCTCGTTAAGAGAATCTCTGCTCCAGTTAGATCTCACAATAGAAGATAAGGAGTCTCGACGCATCACGAATTTGGAACTGAACAAAGACGAGCTAGATACGTTAATAAATGCTTTAGAAAAGTTAGTGTGATACGTTTTGATGTTTTGATGAAGAAAAAAAAAGAATTTGTACATAACTCCCATAAGTATCAAGGTATATTAAGTTGTGATATTGTGCAGGACACACAGTGATGAAATAAATACTCCCCGCTGTTACACTTTGTTTCACAGTTTATTATAGGTTATAGATAAATGTAGAATAGTTACTATTATAATTGCTGATCGAAGATACTGGAGACTGTACTTTCGCGTCTGAGGCGGTCGATTCAAGGATCTCATTTCACAATTTTATAGTCTCCGGCGCAAAATAAATAAACGAGCGAGGATTGGCCTCGACGGGTGCCTCAGAGTGATAACAATCACTAGACAGTGGTACGGGTGGTGCACGTGGTATTTATCAGTCTCGATTCGCTCGCTGAAGAATTTCGATAAAAAGTTTATTCTCGTCGCCAAAAAAACGTGTCGTCCCAATAAGAGGACGATGAATCCCTTTTTTTTTTATTCTTTTCGTTGTAAAGATCTTTTTTTTTTTTTTACGGACAGATATATTTAATGAAATGGTTTTACTATACAACTTTTAACTTTACTTCTTTCCCGCCCTTACACGTAAATATGTATGTAACCACTTAAAAATTAATGCCGGTTACGGACACGAGTGAAGACAACTCGTTCCTTGTCCACTCTATCGCTCGGCGATATTACCGGATATCGGAGCGTCTCACACGTGTATAATGCGCTTCTCGTTTACAACTTTATGATCTATGCTACGCGATCTTGATAGAAAAAAAAGCTTCTTCGTAAGATAATTACTCCTCTCTTTTACCTCTGGAGATCCGTATAAACGTAGAAACGTAGAAACATCGTATGAAAAACCTGACAAAGGTATCGTTCCGGGGGTGGTAAATTGTGCATGTCTCGTAAATTGTAATTAGGCGATACTTTTTTAATGATTATCATAAAAATTACGATAGGCTCGTCGTGTTTTTCTCTCGTATGGAGAAGTAGCAATGTTTCGAACAAACGCCGAATTTACACAAACGCATTCTCTCTATAGTCTAGATTAATATATCACTTACATCTCGTTTTTTTTTTCTCGACTTACTGTATATACTTTATCTCGTATGTTCCATGGTACGTATATACGTATACGGTGTAAAATGTTCTCATTTGCGTGTGTCGGTGTGTAATGTGTTTCCTCGTGTGTTCTCGCAAGCGCCATTGTGCGCGCGCGCGCCTATCAAAATTATTAGTTAAAAATGTGCAGTTCCTCGTTACAACGTAAAACGTCTCGATTGTACAGATGTAAACGGAAAAAGGAAAACTAAGGACCGCGAAGGAAATACGAGCGAAACAAATATGCCGGGTGCCCTCGAAGTCGCCGATGTAGGTGCTTCTTTTTTTTTTTTAATCGTGCGAAACTCCATCGCGTGTCGCTATATAATCTTCTTCCGCTTCCTTTCCTCCAGTTTTCTCGCTCGCGTATTTCCATCTTTTTCCTGTTCTCACCGTGGCGAAGACGCATCCCCCAACTCTCTCTTTCTCTCTCTCTCTCTCTTTCGTTTCGCGCGCTATCATTCTCTTTCCCCTTTCACACCGTCAATCGCTATATCACACACAGCCTGCCCTCTCGATTTCCTCCTCTATATTTCGGCTCTCTTTTTCTCTCTCTCTCTCTCACATTCTCTCTCATGCTCTCTCTTTCTTGCTATCTCCCTTTCATTCTCGTTCACACTCTTTCGCTCTCATAGAGTACAATAGTTATGTAATTACGGGAGGGCGCCATCCAATGAGTATTTCCTTTGGAATGCGCGACGTACGATCCTCGCCCTTATCGTCCTGACGATCTTAATCGCTTTTATCGCTTTTGTCCGTCGCGCGATGTTCGAGCATTAGACTTTACCTCAGTAACAGTTAATGATACTTTAAAAATTTCTACACAGCAGGGACGATCGTTGTAACCCGCGGTCGGGCACAGCCCGAAAGTATTTCGGCGCTTTTGAAGCCCTTTGCGCGCGCCACAAGGAATGAAACGAACAATCGTTCAATCCGTGAAAGAGACCGTGCACGAGCACAATGTTATGTGTGCCCCACCTAAATCATATGTTCACGCGATATGACCTCGTGACCGTAAATAGTTCTTAAATAAACGATCATAGACTTTCACGCATGTATTTTCCCCTGCTGTCCAAACACCATTTAATAATTAATAGGCCTACTATAGTCTATATGCTCTCGCGATGTGCCGCGGTGTCGTCGTCGTCGCCCCGTTTTCCCCTTTTGCTGCTCGTAACGAAAGAACGTTATTTTCTGTTGCAGGAATGGTCCAAATATACATATCTATATAATATACTTTTTTGGTTTTAACGAGAGAAAAGAACTTTCTTCTTTCCAAAATACAATTCGATTAGTGGCGCTTATTCATTTATGTTGTTTTGGTGGTGCGCATCAGCGATGATTTCCTGGAAAAAAAAAACAGATTAATGACTTGTCTATTTAAGTGCGAATCGATGTTGCGAGAGTCCTACGAAAAAAAAAGGAACACTTACGTTCGTGTTGCATTCGATAGCTTCGTTCACTGCCGCCGCGACTGCTTTATCACTTATGTCGATCTCCTCGATGGCCTTTGGAGAGAAAGAGAATAAAAGCATTAATGGCGTTTATGACTGCTTAGTCACGGTAAAAAGGTGCGATCGTAGTATTAATGATCAGATGGCCCCTTCGCTCGTTAATCTTCGTCGGTCAGTTATACTCGATAATGACCTTCAGATTCATTTACGTTCATCGTAAACGATCTCTTGGCGATCATCATGCATATATGAAAATCGTATTAAAATTACGAAGTACTTATCTTATTATTTAAACTATGAAATTTTTATATTACCAATAATTATCCAGACATAATCAAAAACCAATAATTGTCAAGACGTAATATTACGTTTTCATTATTTTGTAAATTATCGATGAAATATTAATTAACATTTATTAATATATTAGTTAAAATTTATTAAGAAATAAGTTTTTTTCTGAGACATAGGAGCTTTACGCTATTGTACTCTTTATAATGTACATACAATTTAACAATAACATCGTTATATCTTTATCATATTTAATATTTCTCATTAAGCACTTTGTAAGCGTGCAGTGCTTTGAAACTTCCAATCACAAAGCAAATAAATGATAAAGAGAATTGTATTAAGACTCTCCTCGCACACATATATACTCGAAACAGTCGATCGATGCTATCCCGCGCATCATCGACAATGACTCACTCGAGGCTAATAATAGCGCGGACGTAGCGTACGTGATTATAATCTTCAGACTGCGGCTAGACTGGAAATATATATATCTATATACATATATATATATGTATACCTTGGTGACCGAGGCGACGTCCTCAGTGATAGCCGGTGCTGTTGGCGGGGAGGCGGGTACTTCAATCGGGATGGCCGGTGGTGCAACTTTGGGAGCCTCATCGGCGCTCTCCGTCGTGCTGACATCGTGGGCAACGTTGTTTTCTACCGGTGCCTCGACTTCCGGAGCCTTCTGTAAAACACAAATCTGCTCGTTACGCGATCGTCATGTATTCGCTCAGTCATCATTTCTCTCGCGCTCTCTTCCTTCAAAGTCCAAATCCCAGCATGCTGTAACGAAGGACGAAGGACGATAATACCGATTCTGCCGACAGTTTGCGTTCATAAAGAGAACAATGTTTTTTTTTCCCCTTTTTGTGAATCATCGAAATAAGTATTTAAATAAGTATCACAAAAGAATCATCACGAAATGATTGTTGCGTATGTTGCGGTTCAAGTAGGAGATAACTATTTTGAAATTATTCGAGGATAGAGCTCAAGATTAACATTTTTTATACATTTATATACGGGTATGGAAACATGTAATACATAACTTATAATTTAATAAAATAAATGGAAACGCGGAAGTTGACGAAATTTTTTAGATAGATTGTTATTTAATAGAAATATGGGATATATTTAATTGATGTAAAAATATCGCGTTAAAGCGTATTTCTAAGTTTAGCCTGCGTCGAACAATGCGCCTGGACAATCGCGATGACTATTACCTCCTCGCTTGAAGCGCAGCGTACAACGACGAGATGCCTCAGCAGAATCGTTTCGTCATGCTTCGGGCAGCGCAAAGAATTGAAAAACCCGCTGACGAACCCTTAGATAAGGAAACTCGGCATGCGCAAGTACAAGATGCTTACGACACAACAGATGCAATTACGAGAACAGCACGACAGCATCGAGTTCTTCTAATGAGCACGTCTATAGTAAAAAAATCTAAAACGCCAGCTACCACGCGCGTTATCATTAGAACCAACTGCTTTTACGTCTATCAATGAGATTCACGCTAGAGGTACCTCTAATATATTCGAGCGTCTATGTTATTATTAGTATAAGAGAGCGTTCGAAATATGAAAAAAGATACACAATCTACGGAAGTGACATTAATTGGCGTGGCAGCGCGAATGGTCCGCTATTCGCCGCGCCAATAAAAAAAAAGTACTCTACTGCAACTTTCATCGATTTTAATCGCATGAAAGGTCATGTTAATATTGTCAAGAAAACCAAGAGGCAAACAACACAGGTGTGACAATAGGTGGTCATGGTAATATATATATATATATGTATATGGGTTTTTATATAAAACGGAGAGTTGGGCGGAAGCGTCGGAGGACATCGAGTAGCAGAGTATAAGGCTTGTGTTAATCACGTTCGGTAGAACGAAGAATGCACACGAAAAACGAGACCCTCAGGCGTTGAAAACACAACGGGGACGCAGCGGGACGGAAAACGGATTCAGCGGACTCTCTGAGGACTGACCGGCTCCGGTCGTGCATCGGCACACCCAAACGACAAAGTATAATTTTGTTCTCGAGACGAGAATTTGTGCAAGGTCTCCCCCCCCCCCTCCCCGGACGTAACTGTCAGTCTCATGTCACTCGATGTTACCCTTCGTCGAGAGAACGGGGCGGAAGGACGAGACTGTTCACTGGAATATGGACGGGAGGAAGCGAGGGAGTGCGAGTTTTTTTTTTTTTTTTTGGATTCAAAGTACGTGTCAATAATTTCTGAACAGAGAGCACTGGCGGAGATTGGCTGGGGAAAAGTGCGGAGATCGGGAGAGCCGATATTTTCATTTTCAGGCTATTAAGACCACAGAGACAGTACTGTGCGAACCGTACGACGAAGATATACGTGGAACGAGGCGCCCGCCAAAGAAGCTTTGGCCGGCCGCATTCATGCCAGGAGGTTGTGTTGCATGTTAGTCACCTGGTGATGCTCCTTGGCGACAGTCGACGGGATGGAGTTCGACAACTGACACGACAAGGTCTCTTCCTGGCTTTCGGTCTTCGCCACGCACTCGGCCGCCAGTCTCTCCTTTAACTCGACGTTCGACTGATTACATGACGTCGTCAGCGGTTCGCTTAGCAACATCGATTGCTCACGATTGCTGCTGTCGCCCTCGTTGTGCGAGGGAATTTGCGAGCGATCTTTCGTGGCGGTTTCTGTCGCGATGCCGGACGTGACACTGGACTGTTGGAAATTGGGACTTAAGGGCGGCGTGAGGAGCGTCTCTGTCGGGTCTCTTAGGTTGGCCGCGTGCTCGACGGGAGCTGGTGGTAACTCAGCTACGGATATGTTCGCGGGGGGGATCAGTAACAATGGACAAGAGAGTTCTTCCGGTGGTAAAGGATAATCGAAGGAATCTAAGCTCTGCGTCCCCATGTCTTCAGGCGCCGGGGGTAGATCTTCCAAAGAGATAGGTACGCTTTCAGGTTCGGGCGAGAGGGCTAGCGTCTGAGGCTCACTCAAGTGCTTTACTGTGAGGGAACACGTCGAAGCGTCTGAGTGCATTGACGGTAAACGACAAGAGGATGATATAAACGGTTCCGTCTCGGTGGCCGAAGATATCGCGGTTGGTTCGAATGCATTTGCATTTTGAAGCTCAGATATTTGAGAGTCGAATGCGGTTAAATCTTCAGGCGGACATGGCAGCGTATCTTCAATTTCATTGATTGTCTTCATTTCGTTTCTCATAAAACTATTAGACACGCCGACAAATTCATTTAATTGCCCAACTGTCGCGTCTTCTGGAACGAACATATCATTCAGCTCTTTCGAAATCAAAGTTTCCTCCGTGGGCAACGCGATGTCGGATTCGAGCTCAACCTCCAGTTTCTCTTCGTCGATTTCGGGAATCACCTTGACGGATTCAGTGGTGTCGGTGAGCTCTTCCACGCTGTCGTCTTCCGGAATGATCAGCGCTGGCTTGGCTTCCACCAGAATATCCTCCGAAACCGACAGCGGACCCTCCTCGGAATTTATGAATAGTTCAGTCGGCGAGGATATCATTGCGACTCCTTCTTCCTCGACTTCCTTCGGCACGTATTTCGCGTAATCGTGTTCACATTCGATCGATTGTTCCACAACTTTTGACGACTGCTTCTCCTCCGCGCCAACGGATGTACATTTTTCACTCGGAGGAAGATGCGATAATTTATCAATTGATTCTATGTGCTGCGTTTTATCGAGAAAACTTCCCACATTATCAGACGATAAATATTGCTTTACAGCCGGGTAGGCGTCCTTTGTTTCAATCTCAGCCGACGATAACGTTTCAGACTCGACGACTTTTTCATTATGTCCGGCGTTAGGCGGTACGTTTATCTTCATCGCAACTCCACAGCTATTTATTTCGCTCTTTGTTTGACACTCCACGACCGGTAAAGCCTCATTCGTAACTTTAGTCATTGCAACAATGTCAGGGACTTCCTCCGCACCTTTGCTCCGTGTATTTTTATCGCATTCGATCGCGAGTGACGGAGTTTCCTCCGCCCTATTTGCCTCACTTCTCTGACACTTAAATACTTTCTCCTTCATCGCGACGTTGCCCTTCACCTCTGTCTCTTCTTTATTATCACGGCTACTTCCGAACGTCTCCTCTACCTTTTTCGCGACATCTTGAGACGTCTCGACTTCGATCTCGGCCTCTACCACCGGCGAGCACTCTACTTCCGCGAGGACAAAGGTCGCTCCCGTCGGTGGTAAGTTGTCGGTAGAGAAATTGAACGATGGGGACGCGACAGCGGCTTCGTTTGCGCGGTTCTGTTGGGGAAGAATATCCTCGCGGGACGACGGGTACGCGACGTCGGGCGGTGGTGCCAACGTCGATTCCTCCTCGTCGGCAGCCACGGCAGGCCGCTTGAGCGCCTCGGCAAGGGCGGTGGCGTTCGCCGCGGCCTGCCGCGCCTGCTGCAAGGGCGACGGATCTATGGGGGTCGGCGGTGGGCTGGATGGGGGCAGGGACGGGAGGTCCTCACTGGCTTTCCTCTCAATGATAGACGGCGTCGCGACTGGCTGGACTCGGTAGACGGGGATCTCTACCGGGTCCGCTACGGAGTGACCGCCGGCTGACTGACTGACCTCGACTGCTTTTTTCTCGGCCTCGACTTTTTCGATCGCCTCCTCTTTCTTATCCTCGACGGACGGGACGGGAGTGGGGGCGGAGGGAGTGGGTTCCTTCTTTTCTTCGACCGGACTAGCGGCCACGGCTGCTGGCGACGCTGCTACGACAGCCTCTTCCTTCGGCTCGGCTGTGGCTGCTGCTGCCGGCGCGGCTACCTGCTCGTCCGCCGATGGACTGCTCGCTGCCGACTTCTCCTCCACTGGACTGCTCGCGGAGGCCGTTGCATTCTCTGCGTCTTCGCCACCCTGAGACAATCGAGAGAACACAACACCTTAGATATTTCGTATGGCGCACCACACTCAAAACTCGCCAAGTCAAAACTCTACATTTTTTAATTATTCGTTTTCTATCTCATAGTTTTATAAAAAAAATATATCAATTTCAATATCGATATCGTTTACGTTTACATCGTGGAAACGCAAAATGCATTGTTTGCAAATTTTTTGTAAGCAATTTAATAGTGCCTCATTCTGAAAATTGAAAAATGTAGACAATACTTAATTTCGCACAGAGAAATATAATTTATTATTCAACCATTTTGGCAGTCGATCGGCCCTAAATAGAAGGTGAGCCGCCATGCGACGTGGAATGCAGTGCGCTGGAGAAAAATGTTGGTTCAAGTCGAGCGTGATATTATTTTCTTTTTGTTCGTTGCGAGGGGTGGCCGCCGACGATTGCAGCGCGCATTCTCTCGTGCCAAGGGTGAGCTCCGAGCAACTCAAATAAAACCGAGGGTGAACAGCTTAATGATACGTCGACGTGGAACGAACGAGAGAGAAAGAGAAAGAGCGCTGTGTAAAGAGGCGTATGTACCCCTAGTGCATACGAGGGAGGTAAAACGAGGGTGCGCGGTGGGGCGCCCGAGTTACCAACGTTCTCACCCTTTAGGAGCCGTGTCAATCGTGTCACTGTGTCAATGAGCGTTTTTTTTTCTTCCTTTAAATCTTTTTTTTATTAAGACAAAACGATCGCGATTCTCGCTGTCGACAGCGCGAAATTAAGAGATTTATCGTCAAATTTACTGTCGTAATAAAGATCGATTATCGCGCGAACAACGACGTTAGGCATGCTGATGAAAGGAGAGACAACGGGCTCGATGTGTGTGACGCGGCAAGTGCCGTATCGTTTATACGCATAATTCTGTTATCAGCTCGGTAACGTAATACGCAGAGATAGAAATGAAGAAGTCCGCAGCGGAACAAAAGTATAGGCACGTTCCACCGACACACGCCGACGCGTTATTACGCTCAGAAATTCCTGGGACATTCGTCATGTTCTTATCGTAATTGAATATTTAACTACTGCAAACTGCTCTATAATATTTGCTATCTACGTCCTTTATTTCCACTTTATTCTTAATACCTGATCCGTTCGTTAAACGTAAAAAATATTTTTCGTACGTAAAGATATAAAATAATGTGCGCAAATGTATGTTTCAATGGCTAACTAAATATTTATATGTATATGTTAAAGTTTACGGTAAAAATATATATACATAATTCCGAGTAACGGCTTAATATATGTAAGAATTTTATTTTTGTTGATTTATAAGACTATTTCGCTCGACGGCTTCTTTGTTTGACTGTCATCATTAGTCTTCGCTTGGCGTGTGCCGCCGGGAAACACTCTCGATACCTTTCGACTTGCGCAACCTTAAGGCGGCGAGGACAGCCGAGACAAAATCAATTCTTGAAACCCGAGAGGGAAACAGAAACCGGACGTGAGAAACGCGTCGTGCGCTTTATTGTCCCGCGTTCCCGTATCGATCGTCGGGCGCTTCTCCCGAGTTCTCCCGTCTCGTAGATTTTCCTAAAGGATATAAGCCTCTCCCTGCTTAAAGAATTACAACAGTACCCAACGGAGTGGCACTTAAGAGGCATTTGTTGCAGCTTTTATGTCGGTTGTACCCGGGAATCACGATTTTATTCCTCTTGTAAAGAAAACTTCTCTTGCAAAGAGTCGTAAGATATTTCCGATATATAATGTAACTTGGGGCTTTCCTTCGTGTAATTCTCCGCAAATATAATCCCCTCTATGCCTTTACGTTTAAAACAAATAAATTAAGTATTATCCAGCAGTTACAAAGATTTTATTTGATCACGATTCTGCAACTAATAGTCAACTCTCTCGGTGGTCGAGATTGAACCGCGTTTTATTCACGTCAAAAATATTTTGTATCTATGAAAGCGATGTCAGGCGACCCGAAAATCCGCTCCAATTTCCTGAATCGAGGGGGATCTGCTCCAAATTCCACTTGGAACTTTCCACTCGGAATTCTTCCGCTTCCGTTCAAGTCGCCGCTGATATTTAAACACGGCGCGTCACCGTCCGAGTGAAAGCGACCGTAAATGGATGCTCACGCGCTCGAGAATTTGGCCTAATACCAAAACGTAAAAACGCACGACAAAACTGGCGAACGGCCAGAGTCTTGCATCGAGGGGCATTGTCCGCGGAGGTGAGGAAGTGCCGAGGTAATGAACTTCCGGGGCTGCCCGGCGTCTTCTTATGATGAAATCGATCGAGAAATTGCAGACCCGCTTCCCCATATACACAATACCGAACTGCCGTTGGCCGACGACCAATTCTGAGTAGGTTAACAGCGAATATGTATGGAATGTGCCAAAAAAAACTGCATACCAATCGCCGATCTCTCTGCAGCAAAAAGATTATACTCGATTCTTTCCTAGCGAGGAAATTGAAAATCTTTATCTCTGCAACTTCTCCCTGATCTCTTTGTTTCATTTATATATAATATAAAAAGATTTCATATATTAAAAACTAATATATCCGTTTTGCAAAAATTTAATGCATTGAGTGCTTCATCAAGTAATCACTTCGCGAAATTTCCCGCTTAAAAAATATTGCTAGGAAAAAGCATTTCATACTCGGAATATCCAATGAATTAGCGAATGAATAGCGAATGCATTCGTTTCAAAAACAAACAAACAGGAAAAGCACAATGCTGATACATAACTTTTCGGTCGGTTTTGTATTGTGTACGATGTTATTGCAAGTGTATTTCAACAGAGAGCGCAGTCTGCGATGTTTCCAGTTTGTTTTGAAAGCCAGCCAAAGGAATCAAGTTACTCATGTATTCCGAGTATTTATCTTTCAATGTCGCTAAATGATGCAGTAATATGCGCTAATTTGCAACAATTTTGCCGGAAAGTGTACCGTTTATAGCTGCTCCATTAATGTTCCGCCGGCTAAACGCGTCTCGCGCTTTCCGACAGACGAAAGTGAGTTAATTTTGCGCCAACGGACGGAGCGCTAAATTTTTAATCGCACCGTAAAATGCCGACGCGAAATGAGCATTCACCCCGCGCTACGGGGATGAAACGGCCGGGCTCCGGGAAGAGTCGACGAAGTGCCGTAACTTCTGCGCCCTCGCGAGCACGTGGAACATTAGAAATGCATTAGCCTTCGCGGACGCCTATCTCGGGGACGACCTTCGTAACCGACGACGCGGTCCCTCACAACAAACGTTCGCAAATCCTCGCCCTCAGATTTTCGATAAAAACTTGGTAGAGCAAACATGCTGATTACGCTTGACGATCGCGCTTTTTTATCCTTCGTTATTTCCTGCGGATCTTCGAGTGAATCAGGAATTAGCTTCTTGTTCTATTGGTATACTTCATAAAAATGTATGTTGAAGATAAAAATATATATTGGCATATTTTATAAAAATCTTATTTTAATTTTTAGTTCTGAATGTAATTTTGGATGTTAATTTTCATATTAAAAATTCGCGGATATTAGAAACTTAAAAAATAGAGTTTTCAACAAAGTTCGATGGTGGAGAATTTGGGAAATTCCTTGTCAGTAACGCGTTAAAGTTGTAATAACGTGTCGTGTTCATTCGACCGTGCGGAATTATTCTACGTGCCATCGCGTCCATGACAGCTGGCGTTCGCCAGCACCAAAATCAATTTCCTGTTTGAGAAAAAAATTAGCTGGAACAGAGCGACTCGCTGAAATAATCGCGTTAACAACTGTCATTCTGTCACACTGCTGCTGTAATATTCTGCAGGAGAATTATTAGCGAACAGTTTTCTCGAGATATTAATGTCATAAAGATAATATTATATTATTTCACTAAAATCTTTGCTTCTCAAATCTTACGTTTTCATAAACGAGATCTTGAACTCGCAACGGTAAACTGTCATTATATGAATACAATTCTGAACTTTATGTCCCTTGCAACGGGATTTGATGGCCGCAGGACGAAAACGGAGCGAGCAACAGCCATCGATGTTCCGGAAGTAATCTTGCGTATTTAACGAGCGTGACTTAGACAATAGCCACGCTAATGATTCGCAGGTGTTTCGCGAGGGACTCATTGACGTATATCGGCCTGTTCCACGAATAACATGTTCATCGGACATGCTCCGCATGCGGGCAGACCGTCGTCGTCGTCGTCGTCGTCGTCGTCGTCGTCGTCGTCGTCGTCGTCGTCGTCTCTCTTAATATACCGTGGAGAAGCGGCAATATATACCGCGCCTGGAAGACGTCGAGCTCGCGATATACGCGAGCAACAAACTGGCGTTTGTTTTAACTTCGCTATTCTTTCGCGGATATAAATTACGGGCATTTATCCGGTTCACCGGAGCATGTCCGCCGGTAATATCGCGCGCACCGGCAAACAACGCGAACGCGATCGGCGAGAGGGAGAGGCGCGCGTTTCGATGTATTTGTGAATGTCGAAAAACCCCGATAGTCGTAGTCACAGAAAAAAAAGAGAGAGAAAGAGAAAGGGAGAAAGAAAAAGAGAGAGAGAACGTCTATTGTTCAGTCGTATCTCTGCGCATCGATATGAAACGTTTCGAAAGGCTCGCCGTTCCGTTTCTACCGTGTGCACGACCGATTTCGCCATTGATTTAATGCGATTGTGATAAATCGGCAATCAGTTCAACGATCCACTTACGTTCGTTTCCCGCTGAGTATCGGTACCGGTAATGCTTAGCGCGGCACAACCGCCTAAGCATTACGAAGTATCGACTAAAATGGATACCGTTGAATTTACGGGAGAACACCCTGCATTTAGAGAGCTAATAAAAGTCAAGATATCGTGTAGCACGATTAAATTTCATTTGAATTAACCTTCGCAATATCGATTTCCCTTGTTTTGCGCTGAATAAACCTTAGTTCCGCACTTGGCTTCGATTGCGGGCCTCGGCGAACGAGAGGAGCGAGGTCGCAGTCGATTTCCTCCTGACAGCTCCTAAGGCTTTTCGCGAGAGGCTCGTGGCACGCGACTCGAGCCGGTTAATAATCCGCGCAGATAGAAATCTGACACGAAAGCCGACGCGAGGAGCTAGCTCGCAGCCGGCGTGTAAACGGCTCTTTAGGTCGCGGCTAGCGTCTCGCGTGTTTCACGCTTCGCGGTGGCGAGAGGCCCGAGAGACGTGTATCCCGTCGGCCGTGCATAGATCTACACACGTCGTACCACGTCGTAATTGAAGCGTTCGGCGCAACAACGAGATAGAGAGAGAGAGGTAATCCGTAAGGTCCACATTTACATTGCAGCTCTCGATATATCCAAAGAGATACCTTCGCAAATTGCGATGGACATACCATACTTCATTCGTGCCACGAAACCCTTCAATTCATCGACGACAAAAGAGTTATCAACGAAAATTGTTGATTCAAGCGGCCCCGGCCGGCGTTTATAAATTTTCCCACAAATGTCAGTTCCTCGCCCGGGCTTCCTGGCCTGGTATAATTCGCCCCCGGGGGATAAACGTTCGTAACGGATAAAATGGCCCGGCATGATAATTTAATCTCGCAGCGCCTCGCCCCCGGCACGAGCGAACCGCCGCGCCGCGCGCCGCTTTCCGCTCGGTGAGCCGGGTCGTAATAAATTTCGATAAATCTCGTTGGAAATTCATAGCTAATCAAGGATTTAACGCGCGCTTTGAGCGCCGGCTGGGTATAAATTGCATTTTTCCCCGCGGGCTATCATAACACTGAAATTCAACCTTAGCGGAAACCAAGCCGGCGCGCGTTCCCCCGCAATCCATCCCTGATAATGACCTATACAACCGCGAGTGGCTTGCCGCCGATGCTTGTTAAGGAAGGTCGAGCGAAAACACCGAATAAAATAACCTCGGAAGAAGAGGAAGTTTCATATAGATCGTAAATTATACACGTCGTCGCTGTGCATTGTAAAAACTACTCCCGCTGGTGCAATTTCACCCCCGTGTGACGCGGTGGCTCGAATAAACGAGCAAAACAAGCGGGGACCGCTACCGAAGTGCGAACTAGCGTGATCTTTAGCCTCGAATAAATCGCTATTTTCCGCGACGACTTTTGGCACCGCTGACGGTACCTCTCGGTCGACGAGCCTCGCGTCTCAAGAAAGCATTCCGTCGCTTTTCTCTCGCCTTCGCGTTCCTACGCGCCTTCTACCGGTCTATTTTCGCACATCTCGCGTCTCGCGCTAGCGCAAGAGTGTCGGTTTACCGTGACGGATATTCATCTATTTAAATTTAACCGCATGTGTGTACGTACACCAATTAGGTATTAATTTTAAACGCCTAAACGTTAACGTTAGCGGCAAGATTAATTAATTTCGAAAAAAAATCGACTGAAAAATGGAACGCGCTAATAGGGTTTACCGTACCGTGGGTGGTTCTGTATCCTGCGCGGCTACCGGAACTGCAGTGATGCCCAATAATGGAACGTAAGCTAATATTCTCCGAGTTCCGCGTGCAAGGGCACACGCCGCCCTGCACATGCCGTTGCCCAAACTGCGTCCCGCTTGTAGAACGTATTCCATCTCGAGATAAAACTTAACTTTTATAATCTTACAGCTTTCGGATTTGCAGCTTCGTCACTAACAAGATCTCTTCGGCTGATATTACAATGAACGATCGAAGTTCTTATAACAAATTATTTTGAATAACTTACAAGTGACAGTTATTCTTTTATAGTCTTCTAAAATATTTTGAATGTGATCTATTATAAGCTATCTAATATAAGCATTAATAAATGAGACGTAAATCTTGCTTATTGTAGTTATATAAAGGAGTTAAATAATCGAAAATATGTAATAGTAGCAAAATTTTCTATAAAATTTTTAGAGAATCTTGAAATTATTTGCTACAATTCGTAATTATAATGAGAATAAAATAGTTGTTTATGTTGCATAATAAAATATCTATATCGAACAGTATTCTGTCACGCGTAATTTGCTTCATCAAATACGTCATACGCATATATCGATCTATATTTAGAAAACTGGAGACTGTTTCTATGTTCAGTTTGGATACCGTGCAATTTACTATTAATAAAGCTGAATCACCGAGCCAATGATTGATCTTGCAACGCAAAAACGTTTTATCGACAAAAAATTTTGAAAAAAAAAAAACTCAATAATTTGCATGTAGCATGAAATTGTATCAGAATTACATGACATGAAACGAAAATAACTCCATCACAGATGTTTAAATATCATTCATTAATCATTATTTTTAATGACGCAACATTCGACATGCTTTCAATGTCAACTCTTAATAAGGTATTGCAGAAACATTGTGAAATATTCGCAACAAGGAAATTCCTCAACACCGGAAGACGTCGATCGTCCACGAATATCAGCATATCATAATTGCAACACTACCTTTATCACACGCGCACGCAAACACAAGTGACAAAGAACGGAGGCAGAGCCGTACTAACTGTTCGCCGTTGGCGAACTACTTGGGCCAGCCTACGAGTTCAGTCAGGGTTTATATAGAGGATCGTCCCACGTCTCCTAGCGAAAGAAGAGAAGCGAGAGTCACACGTCGAAAGCCAGAGAGAGAGAGACAGGAAGAGAGAAACTTGCGAGAGAGGAGTTAGTCACTAGCCGCTGCGGCGAGTAACTAGAGATGCAAGGTAATACTAATTGTAAGTTAACATATACTGAAATGTACAAAGAAGACGGAATCCAAATTATACAAAGAAAAGAAAACGAAAAAAAAATTCTACGGTCGATTAATCAAGCTTCTATTACAATGTTCAACATTAAATTTCATAAATTCGTAAAAAAAAAAATATAGCATGACTTTATCTTCAGAATCTTAATTTCTCTTTCAAAGAAAAGATCCGGATCGCTGTTTAATTACCCAGAAGTAGCGTGTTTCTCTTAAAAATTACACACGATAAAATTAAAATAGAGAATTAATATGTGCAAATTTAAAATGTTATTTCTGGAACGAAACTCCATAGAGGATACTTACATTTTTATGCACATAAATTTTACTGCGGGCTCTAAATATTCACGTTTTTCTGAGACGCCTTTAAAATACACATAATTATACATAAGTACACATGTCGTGTCGGGAGAGAAGTCCGATTCCACGGAGAGATATCAACGGCGAAGAACGAGGAAAGCTGACCCCGCGTCTTTGTATAACGGGTATAGTTACAGAGCTTTCGAGCAAGCGAGCGAGACGGCGAATTAGGGACGGAAGAAGCGGACGGAGAGAAAAGAAAGTGCACTACCTACTGGGTGGTGAAACTAGGAAGAGAAAGACTCTTGAGCACACCGGCGATACAAGAGTAGACAAAGTGCAGTAAAAGAGGCGAAGTTGACAGTACGACGTGGTGGAGAGAAAAGGGGGAGTCCGATTCACATCCTAGAAACGCACGGCTGCTAACCAATGCGTCGCCACGGACAAAAATTTACGCCGCAAAACCGCCGCGCGTTTCTATTCTTGGACGACCCGAGACAGGAAGGCTGGGAAGGAGATGGGAGAGCGCTAAATGGAAGAAGCGGGCGGAACAACGACGGAAATATGCATTTCTTCTTATTAGCGCTGAATTTATGTCTATCTCTTAGCTACGAGGACATGAATATACGTATAACGAGTTGTAAATAATATTTTTTTAAACATTAAATATTTTTTTCCTTAAAAAAAAAAATACTCCATATTTTCCGATCCACAAAATTTGCTGTCCCTCATTCACAGATTGCTGCATGTATTATGTTTCGCGCGGAGAGCGGATTGTCACAACAAAGAGGCACGCGCTTGCAACATGTGTAACAGGTCGCGTAATCCACTGCGGTGTAACAAAACCGACACGTCGCGCGATAAGTGGCAAATGATAAACGTTTCTCAAATAACGTGATTTTTAAGCATGATTTAAAGACGCTCGCGCGAAAATGCAAGCCGGCGACTTACGAGAAAGCGAATCGCGATAAGGTCGCAGAAATAGTTGGACAGCGTCCAACCAGCTGAGTTTATCGTGGACTTTATTGTTCCGCCTTTGCCAGTTGATACAAACACGCGAGAGCGCGGCCCGTCGGAAGGCCGAAAATAATCGCGGATGTCGTAAAGAATATTGTCGCAGACGCATCGACAATATAATTTCCGATTCTCTCGGGAAAATGGAAACGCGTTTATTTATCTTCCCCCGCGCCGCCGCGCTTCGACGCGAGCTTATCAAATCGCGCGCGGCTGAAATAACCATGACGCGCGCGTGAGTCGCGGAATAACCGCGATACCGATAAATGAAATTCGCGCGGAGTGATCCCAGCGAAATCCAGCGCGCGTTTTCTCCAACAGAGAAATAACATACAAATTTATTTTAAAGCTCAATTATCTGGACATTGAAACGTTCAAAATTGGAGATAAATGCATTTTGGAGATAAAATGGATTTCCCCGCAAAATCTGTCTCAAAATTGACACCAGGGTTATTACGAAACTTCTGGCTGGAATATAATGATTTTGGAGAACACGGTGCAGTCTAAAACGCGAGTTGCACTCTCTCTTGGCACAGCTTCGATGCGAAATCGTTGGCGGCAGCATCGACTGCAAGCTTCAATATTATTTTTAGACGAAGAGACGAAGAAGGGGTTTACCGAGAGAGATACTCAGGCGAGTATCAAGCGAACGTTCAAACAGATGGAGTCGTTACTATGTCGGAAGAAGTCGGAATGGCTCCTTATTACGAACGTTCTAATAATTATCGATAACGAAGAAAGGTGTACGTGTTAAACGGTACGGGGAAGCGCTACTTTCCGGTCGGCTTACTGCCCGAAAAAAAAATAAAAGGAAACGCTGATCTGTCTTTGCATTACCATGTAAACACGCTAAAGAAATTGTTCAAGCCGGAGTTTTAAAAATGAACTGTCCCGAATAACGCATCAATTTAGAATTTGAAAACTTGTTACAATCATCCGTATTCATATTAAATTTTTTGATTGCATTCAATGCGGTGCTAGCATGTAGACCTGCGTGTCATGTGTTGAGCGCCCACATATTTCGGGGGTTGAAATTTTTCGAGAGTGCAACAAGCGCACAAGCGAACGATTATTCTGGATCGAAAGAGCATATTTCCGAAATAAAACCGAGGTGAATCGTTTCCTGCAGCAGCCCGGGATGCAAAACACATAAATCACCTTTCAATTTTCGCTCGTTAGTCGAGCTTTTGCCGACACCCACCGCGCGCGTTGCATCGATCAACCTGCCGGCGATACAGTCATAACGAATATGTCAGTAGTGTTTCGCCTATTCAAATTCGCTATAATCCGCTTTTCGGATCAACACTACTGCTCGCCTTACTCCGACACATCCTCGGCGCGACGAGACGAGAAATAAAAATTCAAGGACTTAACGAGTGTATATTTTGACACGAATATCCACTCGATGATGTAAAGTCGACATTGAGCTACTCAATTTTCAATTATGGCTCATGCATAAAACAGCCCGATGAAACGAAGGATATTCTGATTTCACACATTAAAGTTATTTTTATTTCCCAAGGAGTAGAGTGACAATAAAATGAGAATTATAAATAGTTGAAAAATATGTTCATATAAAATTGTGTAATTTCATACGTAGGACAAATTTATGTAAATATGCATAAATAAATATCCCAAGTGTCAAAGATAAACATTAAAATGATAAATTCAAGCGTTTTCTTCTAAAAACGCTTTCATCGCGATGCAACAATATCAACTAATGTCAAATAAATTATTACTTAAAAATTTTATTTACACAATTTTTTATTTTGAGATGTCAGTTATGTAAAACCTTATTTTAGGGATTCTAATTTTTTCTTCCCACAATTTTGTGTAACTTATCTCGCAAACATTATTGATACTTCCAGTAGCTGTTTTTTTCAGCAGCGCTGCAGTAAAATAATTAAACACAAATCATATAAAGGATGCACGACGCGATGGCGAGTTTTGCGTGCTTCTCTCAGATCGTAACCGTAATGAAATCACGTCCTTCAGGACTTACGAGAAGTACGGATAATACGGTCATTGCAGCACGTGTGAAATCTTGACTACGTGCAGCAGCCGAGGCTACCTTGCATAATTGAGAATCACTACCGGCGTCGCCGGAGCACGTCTCCCGATGATCATGCTATAACCGCTGAAAACCACGTACCCCGATGAATATTGAACCATTCATGGTCCATCCATTTTCGCGAACGTATCTCGGCCACCGCGCGATTCTCGACGGAGAAAGAGATGTTCATAATTCAAAAGAATCAAAGTACTCCGCAAAAAGATTCTGCTAAACAGTGTTCCAAATTGAAAACAAATTTCTCGCGAGCTGTACTAGGTCGGCTATTTTTGATCGTCGTGTTTCCGCCGATAATCTATAACGGGGTATCCTACAACGAATATGGATGGAGCTATGGAGTAAGAATAATTGCGAGAGACGGACGCCCTACGTCAGAAACAATCGCGTCCGCTTGCCGACATTTGTTTCGCCGATCACGTAAAAGTTCTATCGTCCGAGAAAGGCGGTTGAATTTGCGGTCGCGGGAAATCGGGAAATCCCGCCCGGCAATATCCCCGACAATGTGAAATCGGCGGAACAGCTCGCAATCTCGTGGGAGGATTCGCTCCCCGGGAGCGCAGAAATGGGGCTCATCGATTCGAAACTGCTGCGAAAAAGCCGCGGCGGTGGCGGCGGCGGGGGGAGGGGGGCGCGAAGGAAACGGAGGGAAGGCTGATAAAGTGCAAACTGGAGCGAAAGATGACCGACCGTCGTGATCTACAGACATAAATTCGCAATTCACCGAGTTTTCCTCGGTCTCAAACGAGCAAGAAGGAACAAAGAGAGAAGAACATTGCCGTATCCACCGCGAAAAAAGCTACGGCTCTTGTAATCTCTGAACGCGAGGTCAGTGATACGTCGCGGCTTTTTAAAAAGAGAGAGCAATATATCTCGAGCAACGAGGAGACGTCGCGAGCTGCTCTTTCGGCGACACTTGATTGAACAACAGTCACCCCGATATTGCGAAGAACAAATAATGGGATAATGCGCGGAGTTCCAACAAAATTCGAAACCTGTTTCTTTGCGGAAATTGCGCGACGGTTTTTCCCAGTTTTTGTAAGCTATGCCACGGAAGGACTGCTCTCGTTTATCTTCCCGAAAAGAAATTCCGCTCGTTTGCGGTTAGAATTTTTATCTCGTGGAAATCGGCTCTCGCATGAAAGAAAGATAAAAGCTAGGGATTTCGAGAACTTCTGTCCGCAATCTCGGTGTAATCTCGGCCGTGGGGGAAAAAAAAAAGGAAACGACACAAAGAGAAAATCTCGAGACAGTTAATTACTTTTCCGCGTACTTCAATTATGTAACTCGTATCTGTCGATTTAATACAGAAAGAAAAATGGCCGAAGGGAAAATCAATAGAAATATATAGAGATTAAATCGAAGAGCGAACCAATGTCGTCAATTTTGCTCTCCGTAAATTCCATAATTTGAAATTTTTCGACAAAAAAAAACAATACAGCACTTCGAGAAAAATAAGATTAAAAAAAGGGGGGAAAGGCATAACAAAGTCGCGACAGCTGCCGGCTAAAATCTCGTGAAACCAGTACGACGGAATCGCATTTTCGAAGTTGCCGTACTTGGCAGTTTCACACAGGGGCGAATCATTCCTGAAGCAAATGCGAGTTTCCGAGAGAGTGCCGACCTTCGCAGTTTCGACCTTCACTGGCGCGCGGCGCGAGAGCCCGGGAGTTGTTCTCGTCCGCGAGTAAGAGAAGAAAAAAAAATAACTCGAATGGAAAACTCGTTATCGAGTCCCTCCGTCGTCGTCGCGCGCGCGAAGCGTCCCGCGTAGCTTTCAGAGACACGTCAAGAGCCTTTTAGACGCGAGGATTTTCACCTCACGGGAAATCACGCGACGCCAGGTCGGCGCGCATCCGATCGCAATTAACAGACAAACTTTTAATGAAACCGAACGTTCGACCCGTTCGTTCCTTTTTTCTCTTCCCCCCCCCCCTTTCTTGTCGCGAAGGCGATAGTGCGGAAACCACAAATGGGGAATTTATCGTCGCGCAGAGTTGCACAACCACCCCTGCCACTCTGTCGCCCCCGCGGTGGAGGAAAATTAATTAACAGTAATTAACAGCGTATCTTCTACATTGATTATTGGCAATATTATTGTCATTATGGCATTCGTTGCGAGAGATCGCTTTTCAAACTGCGTACGTAATAATCTTGTTTATACGTATGGCGGATGTCGAACTGTAATCCTGATTAGCGCTAAGCCTATTAACAACTTGCGCGATACTTGTGATAGATGGATACACGTGCAAAATAATTGGTTTTGCGATACATACTAATCGATAATTATCACACCCTGGCAAATTGCGAGAGAGAGAAAGAGAGAGAGAGAGAGAGAGAGAGAGAGAGAGAGAGAGAGAGAGAGATGAGAGAGATACCGGCGCGGCATAACTGCGAGATTTTATTTTACTGACGGGCGGGGAGGAGGGCTGAGGGCCTTTATTAGCGCGTTATGGGGCTGTTAGGTGAATCGCAGACCACATAAAAGCCAGTTAAAGAACGTACCCCATTACCCGACTCCGGGGCGCCGCCGACTCCGCTTCCGCGTTCGCGAATAAAAAGCGGTATATCGGTGCCGCGAGATATCATTCGAACGTGCGCATTTCCAC